TAAAAAATCAGTCCAACTTTTCATCATTACCATCAACATTCTCAATGACAACACCATCATCTATCACTGCCACCATCACAGAACCTACATCAGAAAATATGAAAATATTCAAAAATGATTCTTTTACAAGTGAATCAGAGCTGCCTCTTCTTCTTGATGAATATCAATTACTGCAACAATTACAACAGCAACAACAACAACAACAACAAAATCAAAATCAATCCAAATATTCACCACCACTACCACCAAATGTCATGTCACGTACTCAACAAAAACTTTGGTTACAAAGGCAATATTATCAGGAAGATAATGAAAATTGTTTGAAACACCCTAAAAATCAAGCAAGATTAACCAAAGTGACAGAAAGAATTAATAGGGAACATGGAGCTATTACATTGTATAGGGATCCAATGGTTGAAAGTTTACATAGAGTTTTTAACAGATATGCTCAAGAACATCCAGAAGTTCTAGAGGATGATTTTGGAGTGGGATATGAAGATGCAAAAGAATGGCATTTGGTTTCTGATGGTAGGAAAAAATTGGATAATTCTGCACATTCTATTTTAAGTGCAGAAACTTTAACAACAGCTGATCCAATTAACAACAACACTTCTCAAAATTTAAGATAAAAGATTTAGATATTTTTAATTTTATTATTAAGGTTAATGGAATTGTTAATACTGATGATAATTTCGTTATAACTTTGTGTAAGTAGTACCACAATGGGTATTGGAACATCGTAAAAAACAAAACATCAAAGATGAGCTATCAAGAAAACAACGATTGAATGAACGACTGAAAAAGATCCGAGAAAAAGAAAAGCTTGAAAGAGAGAAAAGTCAATCACAAAGAAGCCGTCATGCTAGAAAACGATTGGTTGGTGTTATATATAATTTTAAGTTACATAATATGATCATTACTAATGAATGATTATGATAATAGAAACCAATTAAAGGATCAGAGGATAAAAATTATAAAAATTTGAATGTTAATAACACTAACAAAGATATTGGTGATGATGATCCCGGATTAAATGTATTTCTGGTTGAAGATTATGATAGTGATGAGGATACTGAAAATCATAGTAACGATATTAATGACATTAATGATGGCATTGTTACTGTCGTCGAAGATAATTTATCTGAGGATGTACGCGAACTTTTAAAAAGGTTGGATTTTTTAATTATTATTAAAACCTTTGTTTATTTTTCCAATAGCGATAATAAATAAATAAAATATCCATATATTGAATTAGGTTTCAAGAAGGCAAAGATGTTGAAAATTCTGAAAAGGACAATGAAATTGATGATGAAAATGTTCCTGATGAAAAAAAAG